ACTAGAATCTATAGCAGTAAGTCCAAGTATCATTTTGATTTTGTCCAGCTCCAGTAAATGAAACAGACTTCTGAGAAAGTTTTTAAAGAGCTGTGAAGCTACTTGGCCATCTATTCACCATCATTTGCATGTTCACAGTAAGAAAAATAGTTTACATTTAATACAGACTTTGAAAATTGTCAAAAAGAGTCTCATTTCCCAGCTCTGTTCACCATGCAGCCCTGTTGCCCTTGGCTGTTCTACTGCCCATTCTGACAGATCCTGACTATGCCAGCTGGAAACCAAACAAGCACTGCAACTTAGAGTAATTGTCTTGGAACCTACTACCTAAAACTGTGAAAAATGAATAAACCTTGCTGCACTGAGCTCTGGTTTTTGCAGCTGTTGCCAATAGCTCCTTCTCAAAAAGGATGCCATGGAGAATACATACAGTGCTTGGTCATCTATCAAAAGTTTAGCCTTCCCCCCCACTTAATCTTCTTTCTTTTCACTCACTCATCATTTATATCTGCCCTCCCTGCTGTCCTCCATCCCTCCAAACCCAATACAGCTTACTGAAATGTGATTTTTTTATTCCTTATTTCCATCCTGGGAAATGTTTCTCTTCATTACAAATGTGAAATGAAATGCTGTGCAATACCCCCATACCAATGCATTGCTCTACTGCTTAATGCATATACCACACATAAGATTATTTTTAATGTTGCAGAAGGTGGAATTTTGACAAGTAAAAAAATCTGTGGAGTGCCAGAATTTCCATTAGCATCAACCACTTTAAAATAGTACTCTTTTCCAAAATGTATGGCTCTTTGAAAGTTTTATTGAGAGTGTAAAGACGATTTCCTAAGGAAAACTGTTTCAGATTAGCCATTTCCCTAGAGATACCACATTTCAAGAAAGCTGAGGACTTCAAAATCAATTTCAAACAGTACTCATTTTCCTCCTTGAGCCAATGTTTTAAGAACTGGCCTTGCACAACAACAGCCAACCAACCACACACATTGGATGAGGGACCATGGTGAGTGACAACAGGTGCAAAAGATAAACCTAGGCTCCTCTGTGGTGCATTAGAGTTCCTCACACCACTGCCCCATCAACTGGAGTCATTCACCTGGAGCATCCCAGCAGCAAGGGCACAAATTTGATAAACGTTCATTTTGCCTGGCAGATTATTTCAAACCAATTAAGACCTACAAAGACTGATGAGAGATTTAAAAAACCGAAAGCCAACAACCCCTTCCTGGAACTGAAGGCATAGTATACAAAGCATATTCCTGGGAAACAGGGATATGCTGAGGACTCAGACATGCAGGGCACAGGTAGAAGACTAGTATTCCTAGAATGCTGACATCAATGTAAAGCTTTCTTACTGCTTAGTGACATTCAGTCCACTTGAAAGAACTGATAAACCAAACATAACACCCTACTGTTGGTTTCTGGTGATAGGCTCTGTTACTATCTTGTATATAAAAACACACTACCAAATTTCTTGAACAACCCTGACAAACCATGAACTTGTCTATAGACAATGAATGCTAAAAGCTCACACAAACGCTGAAATATCTACAAATGAATGGAGCTTTTGCATGACAACTTAGTTATTTTATAAATGGACCATCTGCATCATATTGAAGGAAGCAAGTTTGGTACTCATCAATTTATTGCCAACTCAACCAGCACTTTGAGTTTTCCAGGCTTAATAGAAAACTTGGTTCAAATCTGAACTTATAATTTCTCTTGTCTTGTGTGAAAGTAGAAAGTGATTTCTTGCAGAGTGCTGATAGATGGAATTACCACTGATAGCAGAAATGAATCATACTGCATGAGGATGGCTGACTCTTGATGATGATGTGGTTGTTCTTTTAGCAACATGTTCAACGTGCTCTGTGTCCCCAAACCAAGAAGAATACTCTGGACAAAGCTGGTGAGCACAGTGCATGGAAAAAGAACTTTGAAAATGTGGAATTAGTCTTTCCAATACATGTATTCATTCGGGCTGCAAAGCCTGAATGTTCTGTTTTGGGTGGGTTTTCCTTTTGGTTTTGTTTGGTTTTCTTTGTTTGTGGTTTTGTTTGGATTGTTTGTGTTGGTTTTATCTCCTGTTATGTTTCTTGTTGGATTGCTGTTGTTTTTTGTGTTTGTTGTTTTGGGTGGTTTAATACAGAAAAAGCTTGATGTTTTTCCATGGCCAAATTATCAATGTTCCCTGTAACAGATTAGCTCTGATCCCATGACACTCACTCCCATGCTCCCATGCTTACTCTGAAGAAGCATCAGGAAACTGATCCAGGTTGAAACTAACCAATGTGGTCATACAACCTTTCCTAGAGGTCAGCATCCATGAGTTAGCTGCCAAATCAGTGTCAGCGCTAGTATGGACTGTAAGGGTAAGCAGATGGGACCAGTCCAAATCAGTTTCATGGGTGTGCCTTTGAAGTAATCCTACTAATTACTGGCAGAACTTTTAATGTCAGACACTGAAAATGCATATACAGTGGAACACTTGGTCTTCAAAATACATCTTTGTAGATATTTTTAAGTGTCTACAACCTCAGCATTAAAAAAATAAGAACTCTTTAGCTGAATGGTATAGCATGGATTTATCTCCATCTTTATTTTACTTTAAAACCTTATTTCCTTCTAGCTGTCTTTTTTCCCCCTCAACTGGCAATTTAATGGACTTGACATGAGCTAAAGAATTCATTATCAATCTTCATAAGAATTTAGCATGAAATTTAAAGTAGAAGTTAGTACTTAAGGAATAAACTTTGAGAGTGTCAAATATAAAAATTAATTGACCCAAACAGTAGGCAATACTGTGCCTTGTGGGTACTTTTAATGCAGGTGAGCATATTATGGTGACAAGTCTTTTACTGACCACCACAGTAACCTGCAGCACAATCAGGAAAGTAACACACATATGAGCTGCAGTCAAAAAGAAAGATTTCCAAAGTATTTTCAGGACAATCTGCCTTCCTGGCAGAAGCCCCTGGCATACATGTTAAATCAATGTGACAATAATACTGATAAAATTACGGGTTAATCCATATGGCAACAGAAGGGTCAAGTGCGGCGAAAAAAACTCAAGCCTGCAATTTATTTATTGACACTAATAGGTTACTCTTTTCACCACAAATCTGTCTGTAAGATGCAAGTGCTTTTCTAATGCAAATATAATTTATGGAAAGGAAAAAGGGTAGGCCACCAACTGAAAGAAAACATTTATTGAATCAAAGTCAATACTTTCCTTTTAATATCTACAAGCCAACACTGAACTGACTTTATTCAAGAATGAACACAATGTACAAAAAAAGTATGTCTGTTATAAAAATATGTCAATTTTTTTCCTGGCTATTGAGCTGAAAACATTTTGGCAAGTGCAAGATAGTTTTGGCAAGCAAATTTAAGCTGCTATTACCAATAACAAAGATCAAATAATTTTGTAATAATTTTGTAGTATATTTAAGAGTCATTGTTAAAGTGGCATTGGAAATGCTAACCCCCTAAAAAAAATATATGTATCACTGCACTGCCATGTACTTATGCATCCAGACAATTGAACATCTCATCAGGAATCAGAATCTTTATCAGCGAACACTATCCAACCTACTTTGAACTATTCAACCAGATAAGTGACATCTACCACTGAAATACAACCTAGGGAAGGCAAACTACCTCCATAGCTGTGTATTTTATGTGTTGTTTACAAACAGAGAGAGAAGCGTAGGTAGATTCATAGATATTTAAATCACCAGCTGTTGCAATGTGAAATCAGGGAAAGAATAGAGAATAAAGATTCATTTAGGACAGCAGTCTACATGCATATTTGCACATAGAAATGGATTTGATTAGGATCAGTTATGCCTTATTTGTTTAGATGGTTTGGGTCTTTTTCCCTCATAAAAATCTAATGTAACCAGGTCTCAAATAATTGACTTCTCTAAAACCACCAGCAAGAAGCAAAAAAGGGACCACTTATAGAGATAATCTGAAAACAGTGCAATATTAAAATGCAGTTTCACAACATGTGAAAGAAACATGCTTTGGAACCTGAGCAAAAGGCATTTTACTGACTTAGTAAAAAGTCACCCTGTATGTTGTTTTCATTGGCACCTGTTCTGCCAGATTAGTATGTTGCTCTTAGCAACTTCCATGGCCCTAAATATTTAGTACATAGATACTGCCAACTACTTAGAAAGGTCTACTAAACTTTTCAGCCAATATTGCAGGCAGTCTGACATGCTGCTACTGGAAATGACTGTACAGGTTGAAATTAATTGTAGAAAGAAAAAGAAGCAGTCAAACATGTTGCTCTTCTGTGTAAATAGACTAAAGCGATTCCACAACACTTAGATACGGTACTACACTGGTTTACAGTCTCAAGGTCAGCTCTTTCAAAATAAATATACTGAACATTTACAACAAATGCCTCATGAATGCAAGCTGTCTCTTTATTATTTCAAGACCAATTGGATAAAAACTAAAATAAAGACATGACTGAAGCAGCTAAGTTACAAGTCCTTTTTCAGAAACAGGCATGACTTGGTGCCACAGCAAAATTTTTCACATCTGCAGTAAGCAATTTTTTTTTTCTTTTAGCACCAAGCAGGCCACCATAAAAAGCAACCTCACAAAGCATGCGGTCATCTACTCTGTTGATTTTGTATGAAATAATTATTTGTGCTTGCAGGTCTCAGACCTTTAAAAAATTCAGTGAACATTAGGTAATTGAAACTAGTGGAAACTCATTCATTTCTAAACTATTTGAGTCGAGAAAATATTAAAAGACTAAAAAGCAACAGAATGTTGTGCATTAATGCAAGGGTTAGGAACTTACGTTTTACAAAGGAATTTACTTGCTGCGGCAGTTACGTCTAGACATACACAAGCTGTCTTTTGAGAGAGTTAAAAAGATGGCATTTAATGTTTGGCTTATAAAGAAGAAATACTTTTCTGAAAACCCTCTAAAAACCCTCTAACTTTATAGATTCCCACACATTAGTATTTCTAATGGAAATGGAATGAGGAAAGTTAAGATTGGTACTTTAATGTGCCTTAGAACAACTAAAAAGCGACAACCAATCCTAAACAGCTCTGTTGGCATCCATAAAGTTAGAGGGTTTTTAGGAAATGGTTAAAAAAGTATAGGCCTCAGACTGAAGTTTTGTTAGCATTGCAAATACAGCAGAAAAGTTTCCCAAGCAGTAGAGCATACGTGACAAATAACAATAGGCCTCTGTAGAATTGGCTTTTGGATGGCAACAAAGTTATTTAATGTATATCTTTAGAAGGTTAGCATGAATAGAGCTAGTCTGGTTTGTCCAGTGTTGTCCATATCTGGACGTAACTTCCGCGGCAAGTGAGTTCCTTTTTAAAACTTGAGTTCCTAACCCTTGCACAGCTCTACGTCCATGATACTGCTAGAGGCCAATGCGTGCATGCCACTGAAAGGCACAGTCGGACCAATCTCATAAGTGGCATCATCAGAGCAGAACAGCAACTTTTCACTGGACTAATCACGAAGGGTGAACAATGAGCCATCACTTCTCTTGTCATGAGCACAGAAAGCAGTCACCAAGGCAAAAGAGAGGACACAGGAAAGAAGATACAGGAACTCACATAAACCTAAAAGACAGAAAACATGCATTAAACCAAGTTTAGAGCATTCTGACCATCTTCCAACTGCAATACTGCTATACATTGACTTAACACCATACATCTTATGGAAGCACTGCAGGAGTGGTACCATAATCACATCACAAACTTCTTATGAGATTTGTTTTACAACTAACTTCATCTGCAAAGATCAGCCTACAAGATCACCTTTAGTTAAAACATACTTAAGGTCAGACTGACACAGTCAGAACAATCTGCACTCCATTCTGTGAAAAAGTAACATTCTTACAAGATAGCTAATTTTTTACTCAGAAATGGATTTAAAAATTGGACATCCCAAGGACACAGATTTTTATAAGGAGATAATTATAAGGCAGTATGACTGTTTTTCATACTGCTCTAACAGCGCCTAAGAAGTAGAATGAAATACTTACAGGAAAGTTATCCCCAAGGTTATCCTGCCTTTGTATCTACGAGTTGCATTTGAACATTTGCAGATATGCCACCACCATAGCCTCCCTTGGATTGCATCTGATTCTGAATTGAGCTGACCTGGAGATAGAAGGGAAAAGAGGAGTAGAGGAAAGATGAAGAACAATGAGTTGTAGCATCTTCTTGCTTTTGATTTTATTTTTTCTCTAGGTTTAGTTTCCAAGTTGTCCTTTGTTACCAGTAAAGCTATATTACTTTTTCACAAGGACACATGCATCCAAGGCTTGCTGAAATTTTAACTTCAGCATGTAGCTCAGCAGAAAAGATCAAAGAAGTGGTGCTGAGGCAAAAGTTTTTCCTCTCTCCTAAAGAAAACTGGCTGATTCATGGTTTCACTGACCCACTTGATTAATAAAAAAAAATAAAAAAATCAAATCTTTTACAGGCCTTGACTCCACCTGACAAACTAAAATTTATCTTGTTATAAGGAAAACGTTCTCAGGCAGGTATAATGAACCATACATTTATCACTAAGTAAACATCATTATATTAAAGGTATAATATCCAACTTACAAATATCTGTGTGGCTAATTCAGATCATTAAAACAGGGCTAAACTAGGATTTCCTAAATCCAAAAATGGACCTTTTGGTTTGTGGAACATTTTTGATTTATCTATTTACGTGACAATATACAATGCTTGCCTTAATTGATACTGATCCTTTAAATGGAGGACATTTACTTTTCAAATCACAGTAAATCTGAACTTTCTTGAACATAGCTTATTTGAAGGTATTTTTAGTCTGATGCATATAAATCTTCGTGTCCCCCTTTTCATGCCTCGTGTTTCAACACATGCACATCCTGCTATGACTTTCACTGCCTCTATCACCAAACAGAAAAGGAAACCCATAGTTCTTTCCTGCTTGTGTTGCATGAGTCAAAACAATCATGGCCAAGCGCCTGCAGGAAGACAACTTGAATCTTAAAGGTTTGGCCCTTTTTTCTCTGCATCCCAGAGCATACATAACAACTACACAAAGAGTGGAAAATAACATTCATTCAAAGCTATGCCTGCAGGCCACCACTTGCAATTATTTCATCTATGCTCCTTCTTCACAGAGACCTAAAAACACCACTGGAATATCACTGTGCTGTATTAAAACAGCACAGGAGCAATATTTCCAAGCAGCTTGCACGATATCCCCTGTCTACGAAGATGAAAGAAATGTATTTTCTTTTCCACAGCAAGCAAAACACATGCACAGAATACATCAGCAAACTCATTCTTCCACGTGGTTTTTCAAACCTGTGTGAAAAAAGAGCCTGTTTTATCCATCTGTATCTTCAGTGGCATATTGCTATGCAAAGGATCGTGGGTTTTTTGATGTATTTAAGCAGCACAATGTAAAACCATTTTATGCTTTGGCCTTTTGCTGAAATAAGTGATACAGTGGCAGCAAAGCAATACTACCATCTTATTTTTCTTCAAGGAAAAGTGTTGAGGGCCAATTTTCTAATGCATCTGACATCAAAGACTACAAACTCAGTAAAAGAGTGTGCTGTAGTGCATGGGGACGTATTTAAGAACTTTCACATTTTACCAAGCTGCTCATCTTCTTCACTAAGCATCTTTTGCTGCCCATGGCAAAAAACAAAGTCTGAATTCAAGTTTTTTCCTCATAAAATCATGAATCTACACATAAATGTATTCAAAAGAGTGAATATAGGATGCTGATAATTTTTTCTGAATGAACTCTCAATCCAGCATAAAAAGACCTATAAAAATCCCCAGGCCACATCACCTTTCCACCTAAAAACTTGCTAACAAGACTTGAAAATTTTGGAAAGCAGCAAATCAACACAAATTGCAAGACTGAAGTATTGGTTTTCAAGAGTATTTCTAAAAGTTAGACTAATTTCATGAGTCACACATGAGCACCTGGATAAGGAAGTATCAGTCTTAAATTCAGAGATTACTGCCCTTAAAACAGAGAATGCAACAGATGGAACTAGTCTGCATTAACATTTCAGTAGGTATTTTGTACTTGAAAACCTTTGTAGGAGACATACAATTTTAAAATTGCTACACAAAAAAGGTCTAACGTTTGTAGGCTTTTAAGGTGCCATTCTTTCTGAAGCACCCTCCTTTTGAGGCTGAGCAACAAGAACAAGCACTGTGAGATGCAATTTTTGGTTTTTTTCTTTTCCAAAGATGCCATTGCCTTTCTCTGATGACATGCAAGAGCAAGGTTCTTCTCTCTTATGTCTAATTTAGATGGGACTTAAGGATTTGAAAGATTTTAGAAAGGAAAGAAGATTGTACCCATTAAGGGTCATGCAAACTGTTGTGTTGCTTATGCATCTCATAAAATTTCCCTATTTCCTTTTTGTTTTGCCCTCCCTTTCTGAGTTAGGAAACAGCACAGACAGATCTTGAGAAAGAAAACAATGGAAAACTACATGAAATACATGAAATCAAAGACTGAACTGAAGAACATGAAGCATCAGAAGAAAGAAATTTCACGATGTACTGTGAAAGCAAAATAGGGAAAAAAGGGATGGAAATAAACAAGAAACAGTGCACAGAGGGCTCCTGCTGTTTAAGTACACCTCTGACAAAGAGGCAAGGCACTCTACAGAGAAGGAAAACAAAAAACCAAAATATTTCAGAAATATTCTGAGTAGCCAAAAAAATTATTCAGTCAGAATTGTTAGGATGTATAACAAAGAATATGCTTTTGAAAAAAGGCACAGGACAGACAGAAAGTGAATAAAGAACCAAATATAAATGGGAAAACAGTAAAAAAATGGCAGGTATTCACCGAAGTTACTCAAAAAAAGAAAGCACAAAGAAGTTCCTGAGGGAATGTAATGTCCATACTATAAAGGAAATTATGCAGCAGAAGAACATGTGAAGGTTAACATAGTAATCTTGGAATTTACACTGTGAAGAATGAATGTGGAGACCACCACAGAAGAGGCAGAAAGTATGCAGTGTGATAAAACAGAGATTTGAGCCTCTGAAGCAGGGGGAGTGGGAATGACTATTTTTCAATACAGATACTTTCCATCTAGGATCAGAAAAATCTTGCTGGTCATTGATGCAGCACATTATCCAAATAAAAAAAAGAAACAAAAAAGAGAAAAAGAGCTACTTAGAAGCATTCAAAACGAAAAAGTTTATGTAGAGAGACAATAATGATTACCTACTATATGGGGATAAATTGGGTATTATGCAAGAAAAGGATGAGAGCAAACAGGCAAAAAGTGAAAAAATAAAGCTTCAGGCCAACTACACAAATCTCAAATGAGGCAGCTCAGCTGTGAGACTGAGGAAGGTTTTCTCAGGAGAAAAAACAATTACTGAAAAAGCATCAAACAAGCTGGTCACATTAGTCTATTATTTCAATTTAAAATGGCTTTAAATATTAATGTAATATATCACATTAAAGAAGGAATCAGCTTTAACTAAATTTTGTCAAGTGGAATTTGTGTTTGGCCATTTAACTTGCTTACAGAGGTTTTATTAAAAATCATTTCCAGCCCACAATGTTGTTTTCGAAAAACATTTTATGATGTTGAATTTTCTAGCTATATCCTTCCTCATTACATGCCAAGTTAAAAAAAAAAATTTGTGTGATCTCAATAACACCAACTTAAACTAGTTGAAGTTACAAATGAACTCCCCCTTGCTTACATTTAAGCTTTTTTAGCTCTGCTTTCCATTCTGGTATTTCTGACAGACACAGAGATTTTTCCTCTTTGTCAACAAGTCTTCGTCATCTCCAAGTATGTTTTCCTTTAAAGACTATTAATAAAGTCAAGAAGTACTTTTCCTCTACATACAACCATTTTCTATATTTTTTATTATTGACCTTAGAAACAGATTGATATTTCACAAAAATTTGAAGCTCTAAAACATACACCTCCTTGCATAAGCTCATTTTCATTATTTATCTTAGCTTCTGTTTTTTCACTTTCAGACAGCTAAAAATATTTATTGCGGCCATCTTTCACAGGAAGCTACAAAATCTTACTGTGACACTGCTTGCACTTGAAATAATTCACACTGCAAACAGGGCTACAGAATATAGAAAAAGCTCAGGAAGAACACCCAAACATAAATTTGTTTGCACCATAAACTGAGGTAAGTTAGGATTCTACAGGAACTATATTTAAAACAACTTGAGGCAATTAAGGTAAGAAATCTAGTTAACTATAAGACACTTGGGTTCTTCTATATAATACCTGAGTATATTTTCAAGTTTACATCTGTTTTGGTTCATACATATAATCAGAGTGGATTTTTAGTTTAAAATGTATTCTATATAATTTATACAGCACCTAAAATGTGTTATCAATAAATATAGGAATTAAAAAATAATCCGTATTCTTGAATGCTAGTGTTTAGGACTTGGAATTAAAATGCTACAAGGTCATTCCTCAGTTTCATACTGATGCTTTCTTATAGCTGAAAAACTCATTGCTTCAGCTACAACATACAAATACAGTGTTCCTGTATTCTGTCTAATATGAAATGATGTTCATCCATGCATGCTTACTGAATTCATTCCACTGAACAGGTCTCCAGATCCTACATGAGCTGTGTGAACAAAGTTTGTCGGCTCCCCAATCATGCTTCGATCAATCCGCCGTCGTCTTTTCTGAAAGGAAGGTAAAGAAAATATCTGAGATTCACTGAAAAGGCAAAAAACTGTACATGTCATAAAGGCAGAAGTTAACCATATATAGGAAGGATACTGCATATACTGTAAGGTATTTTAACAGAGTCAAAAAACAGAGACCAAATTCTGAGGCTAACCAGGACACTAGTATTACGGTCCTTTTTACTCAGAAGATGTGTACTGACAAGCATGGATACCACTCCCAACATTTAGGCCAACAAAACATTTGTTAATAACCTTAATAAATTCCATATTTATTAACCAGTCTATGAAGCCTCTAACTTAGAGAATTTCTTATCTGCATGCCCTGGTATTATTACTGTTTGCAATATACTTCATGGCAATGTCCAGAACAGTGCCTTGAGTTTGATCAGGGTTAGCCACAGATGTATCTTTACTGAACTCTGAACCCACACACTCAAGATCACTTCCAGTCTGCATGATTCTCAACTGTGAGCTGAAGGGGTGCAGTGCAGTACTAAGGCAAAATGCCAGCTCAGGGACTCTTCTGATTCCTATACCATGTGACAGAAGGCAAGAATTGCTTCAACTCTGCTTCCCAATTTCAGAGTCACAACTTCATTTTTTAGTAATCTAATAACATGCAAGTAAAAAAATCAGAGGCAGTAAAGAATTTCTCTAATTAAAGCTGCTTTGGTTGCCTGCCTCCAGCTAAGCATTGCATTTAAATGATAAAAACAAGAAAACCCTATCCTCATTTCTTAGGCCAGAGCCAGGAGCTTACACGGAGCAATTCATGCAGCGTGCAGTCACCATATGCCCATACTCTGAAAAATGTCTGCATTTGGAAAAAAAAAAGCCATGAAACACAGTTCCAATATCTCACTTTAAGGTATGTTGTAAAAGTAGAGTTTAAGAGCTAAAAACCTACTTGAGCTCAAGTGAAACCTTCCTATTACCTTAAAGTTCATTCGGTCTTGTTTTTTATGATCTCTATTTCTAAATGGCTATGAGGTTGTAAGACCACACAGACTCAAGGCATGAAGGTACATGCCTCGAGTGGGCTAACTACTATTTCAATAGCTACAGATGAAATCTTTATGAGTCAGAGCCCATATCTATGAGAATACATCATAAGGTTTAGCCAGCAAGTACAGAACACATTTAGTCCTGTCCTGCCCCTTTTCCCTATTACAAAAGGAGATTTCAGTAGGTTTCAGTACCTTCTTGCATGCTATGAATAGCTGGGATGAGGAGGAACACATAAAATTCTGTGGCAACAGCTAAATACAGTGATCTGATCTAAGCTAAAACTACTAGTTTTCTCTAATTCCAAAGAATTTTGCAAAATCAATCAACTGATCAAATAAAATATTCCAGCTGTAAAAAAGTTGTATTTACACCATCCTCTACTGTAATATGCTGTAATGTTGACACAGAAAGATGATCTAGATAGCTGTATAAAAATACACTGCTTTAATTAAAACACTTAAAATTATTTAATGCCTGCAGCAGTTGCCTCCCTCCCTCTTTTAAAAAAAACAGCAACCAAATGTATCTACACAATACACCCATAATTCATTTTAATAGATTTTTGATGCAGAGAAGATATAGACAAACTCAAAGACTTTAGATTTTTCTTATCTTGTTTATGAGTTTTTAAGACAATTTAATGGGTTTTTTTCTGTTCAAAGTAACTTATTTTACTCTTTAACTTGTTAAGATCACTGGCATGCCATTAACAAGTGCTGGATCTTCTGAATGACTGTAAATGATTCTCCACTAATCATCAGGTAGTCAACCAGTAACCACTACTTAAACTGCACTGCCACCAAACCATGTCTCTTATCTTAACTGAGTTCCTTATCAGAGACCATTAGCCTGCTACATCTGCCTGACATGTGCCCACTGATGTGAGCTCTATGAAACTGTGGAACAGTACTTAAATGCAGTGCCACAAATTAGTTCACTGTGAAAGTGAACAAAAAATTGATTTCCTTTTTTTTTTTTCCTGCAGGAGTACCCAGCTTGCATTTACATTACTGTTTTAGCTTGGATCCCAAGAATGCTTTTGAAGCAACTTTACCACTTCTCACTTATCATGATTCAGTTTTAATTTTAGACTAACTCTGGAGTGCCAAAATTACACTTTTTAAAAAATGAAGCTGAACTAGAAGACTAACTGATGTTCTCCCATTGCTATCAGACATTGAGGCCAATGAACCAGGTGAGCCAGGCTGGAGTAGATCACAAGACATTTAATACACATTATGACTCCCCAACAGCAACTATTCTGCTGTCCTACACAGCTGATCCTATTAGAATGTGCTGTTCCTGCAGGCATGGTCTCAGCCACAACCAAACTCACCAATGAGAATGTGTAAAGACATGGGGAGCACTGCAAAAAATAATCTCTTTACAAGGAGTGTAACACAGGAGAAAGCAGTAGGGGAACATGCTTGAAAAGGTTACAAAGCTTTTACAGAGGACACTAGAAATATAAGCTTTGCCAGGATTTCATTCTGAGGTTGTATTTTTTGAGGCCTTGTATCTGTAATAATACATGGATAACAATGTATGTATGCTAATGTAAGAATTAACACATGAGATTGATTTTTTTTCAGTAAACTGAATTTGAAAGAAGCAGCACATTCATCTCCTACTTAGGAAGAAATTAAACATAGTTATGCTCATTTCTCTCTACCATCTGTGGTTTTCCATGCTCTCTCCTTGCGCAGCTCACAAGCCTTCTTACATGACTGATTCGTTGTGGTGAAGGACTAATTTTGTGTTCTGCGAGTTAAAAGTGCACTGCTTGGGAAGTGGCCCCTGTCTTCTTCAGGGCCACAGAAGCTGTGGCTGATCAGCTGAGATAATCACCATGACTTTCAGGAGGGAGAGACACATCAAACACTTCATGTTAAAAAGAAATAAAAAATGCCGACAAGGCTCAGCAAAATTTAATGCCACTAGGCTTCACCCATACCTCAAACTGCCTGACATCATACCATAAGTAATTACCCCTAGAATACATTTACACACCACTGATTAAGTAATAAGTAGTAATGAAATGTGACTAAAGGTCATCTATAAAACAAATGAATGTTTATGACACTAGTGCAAAGAACTTCAACATACACGCCCCTGAGTATTCGTACCATCTAAAGCTTTGTTTTCAAATGTTTCTGACTAAAGAAATAAACGCTCCAACCTAACTAAATGTCAGCCTAACTACAATGAGTCCTGTGTCCTCTATTTGGATTCCCTGTGGATTCTTTTCCTAGCAGGAGGGAAACAAAAGAAGGTTCATATTATGATTAGCTAACTTGACTGTTATCTTTCCTGACAGTTTAGGTCAAGTTGCTAAAACACTCGGTATCAGTGGACAAAAAACATTTAAAATCTGTATTACAGTATTTTTTCCCCTTTGCCTTGCGCCAAAGCACTTCCCCTTTTACTAGGAGGGCAAGGAGTGACATGGTTGCCTACCTTCAGACAGATGAGATGAGAGGAAAAGACCTGTATAAAGGATCCTGGAAGTGTACCATGAAGTGCCATCATTAATGGCTTTAGTCAGTTTTTTCCCTTGACAGAAAGCTTAAGAATTTGGATTGCAAAGTACATACCACGCAATTTTTACATCATGAAAAGAAAAACTGATCTTGAAACTGAAGCAGAAGAGATGCAGGCTTGTGTGTTACATGTCTTGAGAGGAATGGAAATAGTGTGAAGACCCACCTAAGAAGCCCTGTTCTGAATGTGTTCTAGATGCAATGAAACAGGATCACATTTCAGTTACCATAGAAATAAAGTAAAAATCGATCTTTTCTATTCTTAACCTGCAAGTGACGCTTTGCACCCACACACTAGCATTTCCTTTGAAATACAAGATTAGAAATCAGAAAGCCTCCAACAGTTGCATCACACAAAATATTTTAAGCCTGCAAGTTTCTTGAAACTTTAAACAATTTTAAACTTTTGCCTAAAAAGTTAAACTAATTATACCGTTTATTTAACTTGCCCTTCAGCAAAGCCACAAACATTTCACTGAAATGCTGTTTTTCACAGTTCCAAAGACTACTTATGGCAAGAAAATCAAAACTGTAATTTGTTTCTTTAAACATACTGATGGGTCCAGAAGTATGTAAAATTTCCTTTCTATTCCCCTGTATTTTTGGCTTTCAGGGAAGAAGTTATCTTTCTTCACTATCTCCAGATTTTGTCCAGGGTTCAGGCTGCGCTTCTTTAGCTCATGCCCTTTCATACGTGATGGCAACACTTCTGAATTAGGCAAGCTCTCTGCCTGTATGAAAAAGACAAGTTTGGGAATTTTTTCTCCTTCGCGTGTTACCCCTCTCTGCTCTTCACGAGAGGTCCTCTCAAAAAAAAAAAAAAAAAAAAGTTAAGACACAGAGTAACACCAAGGTCTCAAACATATTAAAAAAACAAAATTGGGTGATGTCACTTAGATCTTGGAAGGCTGACAATTACTTTCCTGCTAGAAGCTGAAGATGCAAGTGAAGTCAACTTTAGTATGAAGTTTCATACAAAGATATTCCAAAGTCAAGTGCCAGCCCACATTTGGTGGGTATCAAAAGCAAAGCAATCTGTTAAGCTCCAGAAGAGCACATTCTGCTAATTCGACACCAGATATTTTGAGATGGCTGTGACAGACATATCAGAAATCCAAGTCTAAGTGAAACATAAGTGACAACAGCATTCCAAAGGATCCCACAACACAAAAGTCTGCGTGGGTTCTACCTGCAGCAGGCAGACCTCAAATGAAAGGGGTACTGCAGGTGCAGATGATGAATGTGCACTAAAGTACATGGTGGAAACTGAAGAAATTCAGGGGAGATGATGTATTATGGCCTTATTGTGAATACAAAATTGCTGAAAACAATGCTTCTTTATTAAAATTCACACACATGGCATCTTTCTCCTATTGCTTACCCACTTAATTTATCCCACTTTACAAAACAAGAAAAAGTGCCAACTCTTTTTTTCCACAGAGAAAT